TTTATAGTTTACTTGATTTTTTTCTAGTCACTGCTCTGCCTTCACTCCATTTATGTCACCAGTTAAAATTAATCAAGGAAGAAAATGGTTCACATCGCTAGTCATTCCAGTTATGGAATGGAATTAGTGTTTTCATTTACTTCTTTCACACATTTTACTAAGACTTTCTCCTGTGGGGCACACTCTGGAAGGCATTGGGGAGGGATCTAGCAACACCGTTAGCTTGGAAGAACACGAGGTGGAATTTGTTCGTGTGCAGGTACTTTCTCCAAAGACTTTCTCAGAGTCAGATTAGCCAGTACTAATCTGCCTGCCTATGTAGGGTGATGGGTTTTACTCTACCCTTCCCGTTTGGAAGTAACATTTCATCCAGGTCTCTGTGTTTTGTTTTTTTCTGTTTTTGTTCTATTTTCCCCATTGGTCCTTTGGAGAAGAATCCAGCTTCCGGGAATAAAGTGTTTGTTTATAATGAGAAAAAGGGCACAGAGGGCCCAGGAGACTCACATCTTCAGTGGCAGCTAAATCTCCTTACACACATAGAAAACGTGCAGAATGAAGTCACCAGCAGGATGGACCTCATAGAAAAGGAAGTAGATGGTAATGTAGCCAAAAAGCCCAGGTGTAACTAATGCCCTGTGTGTAGTGTTGTTATGAAGAAGCTGTTTGGAGCAAAGTTGTAGGATGCAAACTACAGATACACAGCCTGCCTGCTGCTCTCAGTCTCTTACTTTATGCTGTATGTAGCGTACCCAGGGTGTAATAGGCTCAATGCAAGGTGGCAGTATTGTCCTTTGTAGTGGTCTCTTGTCCATTTTGTTTTATTCTTAACATGGATATTTATTAAATACTGCCCATATGCCTGGTTCAATATGGAATATTTGGGGAGTGTTTGCTAGTTTCATTGAAGAATATTTTCTTTGAAGTCAGCATATTCATAAGCATATTCATTTCCACTCTGGCAAGTATTTATTAAGTAGAATTAATTCCTATAAGTTCAGCAAGTAAACTGTAAGTTTACATGCACATTTTCAAATAATTTCTCTCATATCTTTGTGAATTGTATCATCACATAAAACAAGAAAATACCCCCGTTTTATATTTGAGACACTAGATTAAATTCCAGGAATCTCAATCTCACATGTTTCCTTTGCTTTGACTATTTTTGTCCTGACCTATGGATCGTAACCTGCCTCCACCCTTAGTCCTCTCCCTGTCAACACGCCATTGCGCTAAGGGAGACACACTGTACTTCTGCCTTTCTCTCCCTGAAGAGAGGAAGTGGATACCTGTTTTAGAAGCATTTTGCATTTGATTTTAGTTTCATTAGGTAGGGTTAGTTTGTCTTGTGTGGATTCTTGAAGAAATGAAACTGTATCTTAACAAGTCCATATATTTTAATCAGTTTTTAAAGGAAACAATGAAAACTGAGCATGTAATTGAATTCTACTCAGTACTTTAGTCCACTTGCATACATTTTTAAATGCTTCAATCACGGTAGTGGTCCTGGAAGGACACTGAGGATTTGCCACACCTTTCCTTTGTTAATGAGGAGGACATGGCCCAAGGGAAAGCACTTACTTTGCAAGTGTGAGGACCCAAGTGCTGATTCCTGGAAGCCATGGCCATGAAAGCCAGGTGTGGCGGCATTCCCTCATACCCTCGTAATCCCAACTGTAATCCCAGTGAGGAGATGAGAGGCACAGGCAGGTTGATTCCTGGCACTTGTGGCTATCTAACCTAGATACTTGCCAGCACCCCTGGCCAATGAGAGACCTGCTCTCCAACGGAAAGGTGGGTGGAGTCTGAAGAACAGCATCGAATTTGTCTTCTGTGAAATGCACACACAATCATGTTTCTGCACATAAACACATGCACACAAAGGAGAAGATGATGTAAGAAAGTTTGAGCGGGGCATGGGGAACTGTTACGTTCTGTTGCAGAAGAGAGTGAGCGAGACATACTACTGAATGTGTATGTGTATTTATGCACATTACATATACTACAGGGAAGACTTTCTAAATGTAGTGGGTGTGTATTACATGTATCGTGGCAGGGAATGGGTGTGGGTATGTAGCTCAGTGGTGGAACACCCACTCTGGATTCCATCCCTGGTATCTGAGGGGAGAGAGTGTCTGAGATAGCCGGTGAAGATGACCCAGAGGGTCAGAACTACTGTGGTGGATGATTAAGGGCATTGGCCTTCTGACGACCATTGCAGGCTTGCTGCTGATTGTCTTCTGGCTTCTTCCCGATGCCAAATAACTGACTTTTCCTTCTCTTGTAGTTCTGGAGAGCTGGCTTGATTTCACAGGGGAATTGGAGCCACCAGATCCCCTTGCAAGACTGCCCCAACTTAAACGCCACATAAAACAACTCTTACTTGACGTGGGCAAAGTACAACAAATTGCAACTCTTTGCTCTGTATAACAATGGTAGACACTCAGTGACAACAATGGGTCTTTCTTCAGTTGAGACCTTCTTATTGCTGAGTGGATAGTCAAAAAGCATAGTAATGTTTGGTCATTTACTGATTTGTGACATCAGTAGTATGGCATCTTGGAAGGAAGATGAAGACCAACTCTATCAAGGAAGCTAATATTAAAAATGAGTGAGCAAGCTGCAAGTGATAATGCTGTCTATGCCAAGAATCAGTGCGTAGACTACAAACTGTACTGAAGGAATGGAATTGGCAGGGTTCTCAGAGTTGCTTTCATGAAGCTCAAGATGCCTATAGACAGAAACACGGTGTGCTTATATAGATTTCTAGAAGAGACGCCCATGTTTATAAACCAGCATTTGGCCAAAATCACACTATAAGGAAACTCGAGTTCTGGAGAGTTGCTCAGATTTGCTCTGAGAATTGCCTCCTCAGCAGCTGGATACAGCTGCAAAGAGACTTAGCTTATTTAAACTTCTGCGGGATCATGAGCTGGTTCTTGGGTGATGAATGTATTTAATCAGAAAACTGACAATGGAAATCTCACTTTGGGGGAAACAATTGTGGAATTCTAACTTCATTATGAATGTATTTTTAAGAAACCCACCAAATAATTGGAATCTACTGCGAGCATTGTGCTCCTTAAAACAAAGTGGCTTGCCGAAGGGCCCAGTGTGCCAAATGTTGACACTGCTGGAAAGAGGATTTGAATATCACAGGAGTCCTTCCGCCTGCCGTATGTACGCAACGCCATTAGCCCACCCAGTCCTGTACACCACGTGCAGTGTGTGCCCCGTGTAGGTGAGTGGCAGCGTCCAGCCTTCAGCATACAGTTTGATCCTGGATACACTTGGTGTGTTTGCCTTTTGAAAAAAATAAAATAAAAACTGTAAACCTCAGCTGGGATGAGGAGTGACAAAAATATCAAAGTAATCTAACTGCTAGTAGTGGAATACTGGAAAAGCTTCATTCTGAAGATAAATTTTATTTTAAAAGATAAATATACACAAAAATTTTAGTTTTGATCATAAATGGACAGATTTATGAAACCAAAGGCAACTAAGTTGCTTACTCAGCTCTTGCTGGATTTTTGAGCCTAGGTCCTACTGTCTGCCAGTCCTGGTGCGAGTTGTGTGCACCCCCCAAGTGCCACATGCGCAGGTATGTGTAAGTGCGTCCCCTTGTTTGAATAGTCAACATACATATGTACATAACCAACACATATTTATATCACACATATCTAGTTTTATTACTATAGACTACACAAATCGGGGTTAACATAAAATGTTACCTTTTAATAGACTGTTTTTAAAAACTAAAAATGTATGTACAGGTCTTGAAATTTTTTTAAAGCGTGAGAAAAGACTGTTAAGAGGAGGCTATTTGATGACATTACACTTGAATTTTTTTTT